TACCTGGCCACAGTGGGAATTGAACCTATGACCTTTGGAATACTAGCCCAATTTTTAGGCCTGGTTGTAATGTGAAATCTTTTTGAGAAGAACTGTACAGTGAACATTTAACATTTAAATTGGTTTCCCTCCTTATGAATTGGTGGGAACTATGTCATAATAAACACAGCTTTTTGTGAACCATAGGTTTTATCAAACTTCACTGGTTTTCAGTAAGATACCAGCCTTTTAAAGTACCATCTCTGCCAATCTCAGACAAAACAACTGTAGATGTACAAATGAGTATTAAAAGGGATTATATTTAATAGGAATTGATTTATTGAATAACATGTGAATTAAAGTTAATTAACAAACAAACCCAAATTATGAGGACAATAAACAGGAATTTAAGAGATTTTAATGTTGCTAAAAGACAAATATGTACTGTAACAATAAGAGAAAGGAACAAACATGAAGACTGAATAACATGAAACCAAACCATGTATATTTTATTAACTACATATGATGTAGTGATTTAATTGTCAAGCTTGTATAGTCGCCACAATTCATTCTCAACAAGTAGTAGTGTCACCGTTAAACAACTTCTGATGACAATCTTAGAATCTCAATTTGGTGTGTTTACTAACATCTTAAACTGTGTCTGGTTGATTAAAGTTCGGTTCGATTCCAATCCACAGTAATGTTAACACACTTGTCAATTTAGCTTTTACAGTTTTATATTATTATACACACCGTTAGAGTTTAACGAAACAAAGACAAAATGTGTTTGATATAATTTCAATTAAGTTGGTTTAATTTCACCACTTTATATATTAACAAATTAAACCCAACAACGGGATGGATTATGAGACAAGAAACAGAATGGATAGAGCAAACATGGGCAAACATGGATATATGACAAACATGTCTTGTCGGAAATGACGAATTTCTGTATGCAGCAGAAAAAATCTGAATCTAACTTTTACAATTGGTTCAGATAATTCAAACTATGATTACACCATGGCCAAATTTCGTTCAACTGACCGATTTTATGTACTAACAAATCACAGGCACGTTGAAATTGTTAATGTTCCCACTGCAGTGTTGGAACGTTACCACATTTCCAGAACGACTCGCCAATTCTGCAGAAACACTGTCTTCTTTAATTTCCTCATTCTTGAAACAAAACTGTTTTGCCACTAACGATTTCGTCCAGCCAATTCTTGCCATACACCGACAGCCAAATCTGTGCTGCTTCTAGCAGCATTTGGAATTCTATCTTTAATTCTCTCAGCCAAATTAAAATCACTAACACGTGTCACAGCTCGACAAGCATTATCTTTGTGCAATCCAGCAGCTGTGATAAAGTGCTTTTCGTTTTCAAAAGTCACCAAGTCGTCAATATTAATAGCACAATGAGTTTTGGAGTAGCAACTTTGCGTTATCCAAACTTCTTCGTTGCTTTCCTCGTCAAACATTTCACAACGACTATTGTACCAGGGTGACGAGGTTGCTATTGTTGAGACATTTACCTCTAATTGTATATAATAGAATATAATTACTTACATATTTCATAATAAATTGCCCTTTTAAGCATGTTTTCTACAGTACAGGGTGTCCCAAAAAACCCGAAAACTATTGAAATAAATGTATTGTTAGAATTTGCATGCCTCAGCACTCTGCTGAACCAACATGTGTATCAAAGCTTGATGTAAGTAAATTTTAGGCATAAAGAAATTGTTTAAGAAGCTGTTTTGAATTCCCAAGAGCAGAAAATTGTACGCTTTACAAAAATATTTTAATTTCTTATAATAAGTCAATGTTTAATATACAGGGTGTATAAAGAAAAAACACAACCTCGGAATTTCCCAAGAAATCGACATTGTTTTAAAGACAAAAGATTTTAGGCGCCTGGGAATTTAAAATAGCACAACTGTTAAAATTGCTGCACACGCGAGTGCATAAAGCAAAATTTATGCATTTATTTAGTGCACAACAACAGTAATATGATCTATTAGCGATTCGATTTCAATTCCCAGGGGCCTAAAATCTTTTATGCTTAAGAATTGCAAAGTGATTTCTTAGGAAATTCCGAGGTTGCGTTTTTTTTTATAACAGGGTGTTCTCAAAAACATATTCACCTGAGTACATAACATCAAAACACACACAAAAAAATTATATCCATATTGCTTGTGTTTCACTTTCAATGTTCGTTCACATTCTTAATTGATTGAAAGTTGTTTTGATTCTCATTTAATTCTAAGTAATCCAGTAACTCTTATTTGAGCATTTAATTTGTTTGCCGTTTTGAGAATTAGTTGGTGCTCAAGCAATTGGCCACATATGTTTTTTCACAGTTATTATAAAATAATGTAAATATTTCCAGGGTGTATACAACTACTTCAAAAATATAAGCTGTGCAAAGCTGGTGTATGATATAATAGATGAACAGCTTAGGTGTTGGGTTATTATAGTTCATATCGACCAAATCCATATTTTTGTTTATTTTCCAACCATAGTTTTAAAACGAGGAGAGCAGCTTCGTATTAAAATTTTATCCGAATTGGTCAATTTCTTTCACTGTAGAAACGGGGTAAGTTGTACATGTACAACTTCTATACAGTATATATGGGTATAATTATAGCAGTCAGTGGTATATATATATATATATATAAACAGGTTAGGTGTGTTAACGTTCAAGTTTACAACGACCGAATCCATATTTTTGTTTGATTTTTTCATATTTTCCTTTGATAATTTACCTTTCAAGAAACATAAATATACCATATTACTAAATTTTCAACTCATTCGGTCCTGCAGTATGTATACATCCCAAATGAATCTTGATCTGGAATAAAAATGCAGGTAATGTTTATGCATTTACGTTCTAACAGGCAATTTTACACAAATTTTACAAAAAATTTATATAGTTCCTATCAGCCTATGGAGCTAAAAATTTGGTTGTGCATATAACTTTTAACGCTGATTACAGATATGTTGTACAGCTAGTGAAGCTCTGCAGAGCGATATGTCACTTATTTAATTTACGTAAGGTGGCTCTGAATAATTTGACATTTTGCGAAAAATCTATTCTTGGTGCTGGGGACTGAGACAAGCCATTCGCGCTAACTTTTTACGCGCTGTTTTAATGCACATAAAATGTTATATAAAGTTCCAGAAGGATTTTGAGAAATCGCAAAATTACTCGGTCGCATGCTTCTTTAAAAAAAATATTACCATCAACCCCCCCCCCCCCCTGACAAGGGGTGTGGTTAGAACATAATATAATGCTTATTATAATTTTTCAAGAGTGTGTGCAATATTTATGCACGAGATTGTAACATTTTATCGTTAATTATTAAATAGTTATTAAAAATGGAGCGTGTGGGGACTGGGTCGAGTCTTGCAAATAGCGCCATATTCGATTATTTTAAAACAATTTTGGAATTTTGTATCAACGATCCATT